AAGCGGTGCGTTGGTGTGCGCCCGGGATCCGAACCTGCAAACCCCGGGCCACCGAAGCGGAGCGTGTGCACTTAACCACTGCGCCACTGGGCCGGCCCCAGCACAATTTGTTTAAGAGATTATCCTCTCCCATTGCTTCGACACTTTTATTGAAAATCAATTGGCCATGTATGTTTGGATCTGTTTCTGGTCTCTTTTTTGTTCCATTGATCTATATGTCTGTCTCTCTGCCTGTCTCTCTGCCAATATTGCACTGTCTTGATTATAATAGCTTTATGTAGTAAGTCTTAAAATCAGATAGTTTAAGCACTCCAAATTTTTGGTTCTTTTTCATAATTATTTTGGCTATTCTATGCTCTTTGCATTTCTGTATAAATTTTAGACCCAATTTATCAATTTCTACCAAAAAAGCCTGCTGAGATTTTTTATCGGGATTATGCTAAATCTATAGATCAATTTGGGGAGAAATAGACATCTTAATAATAGTGAGTGTTTTGCATTGGTCTCAGCCTATCGATAATCATGCTATCAGCTGGGAGTGCCTGGGGCACTCCCCTGGGCCCGGAGTACTTGTGGCAAGCTCCTGTAGACGTTTCCCTAGTCGGAGCCAGTATTGTGGCTGGACTAGCCCTTGTGGTTCTTATTATGATTGCAAGACACACCTCAGCAACAACCATGAGGGAACTTTGAAAAAACAAGGTTTATTACTCACAGGTCCTGGAGGGTACACAGCACACCCAGGGCCACGCAGCAAGGTTGCAGATAGAGAGAGAGTGCAGATCTGGGGTTCTGCCTTTATTGAGGTCAAGGGTGAGGTGCCTAGGGTTTTGTGGGTTCACTCTTTATTGGCGAATTTAAAACATAAGAGCAGGAGTTAGGGCACAAGAGGGAAAAAGCGGGGTCACTGAAGTGGTCGGTTTTTTAGGGTACCCAAGGCTTTTTAAAAGGGGAACTTGAGGGGTCGGCCTGGTGGCGTAATGGTTAAGTTCACGCTCTGCTTCAGCAGCCTCAAGTTTGCAGGTTCGGATCCCAGGCACAGACCTACGTACCACTTATCAAGCCATGCTGTGGCAGGCTTCCCACATATAAAGTAGAGGAGGGTGAGCACGGATGTTAGCCCAGGGCCAATCTTCCTCAGCAAAAAGAGGAGGATTGGCAGCAGATGTTAGCTCAGGGCTAATCTTCCTCACAAAAAAATAAATAAATAAAATAGAGGAGCTTCATGGGTGGGAGTGGCCTGGCTCTTTATCTAATTATGTAGCTGGCAATATGTTCATTCAAGTTTTGTTTTTTTGTTTTTTGTTTTTTTGCTGAGG